GAAGACAGGCCAACAGCCCACTGATTGAGGTGCATCAGCAACATATAACTGCTGCAACAAGCATTTTTATCAGAGCAATCATGCTACTGCACAAAGAGTCTGCTCTGGGGCTCAGGAATCTTAGAGATGCTTTTCATGGGCACCTGCTATCATCAGAAACATCACTATCACCTGTGTCATGCAAGGAGCACCTGAGCAGGATGGCAGTCAATGCTCCTAGCTTCAGGAATATTAGGCAGTGCATACTGTTATTATCACTTTGCATGGTTTCACTTTAAAGCTTCTTGCAGAGGACTGTCTCAGAGCTTTTTTAGGTCTTTAATAGTGGGAGAAATCTCTAAAAGTTAGAGAAAAAGTTGAAAAAAAAAAAATCAGATGGATTGAATAGACTAAAGCAGAAGGCAGAGGATACAGACAAACCCCATGGTCATTAGTGGCAATTTTTCTGACACAGAACAGTTTTAAACACACAAAAACAACCTGGTGAGCGCACAGCATGGCTTCATGATAGTATCTTTAAAAGCTTTATTGATCATTGCTTAATGAGTGGCATTCAATATTTACTCTGTCCATTAATACTGCTACATATTTAAGAAAATTTACTACAAACCTTTGAGTAAAAGAAAAAATAAGAATGACAAAGAAGAAAGAATACTTTCAAAAGCATTTCTTTTTTATTTCCCTGTTTGATGAAATAATTTATTTCCAAGGAATACATATTGAATATACAATTTCCTCTGTACCCATTTTCCTTTAATATTTCCCTTCTTAAAGACAGCCCTTTTTCACATCAGATCCAGAACTGATTTTTATAAGTGACTGGGCACTGATATTTTGGATTCTGTTACAAGCATCTTCCTTGTCTTCCTTGTCATATAATTTTGATCAAAGTCAGTGACGCTCAAACTTTTAGGTGTCTCTACTTTCTGTTATTCATGTTGAGAACATGGAACATCATCTCCAGAGATAATGAATACCTAACAGGTTCAATCTATTTCATCTGAGGCTTCGAGTGTTCAGCAAGTCTGAAGAGAAAACTGAATTAAAGGGAAGAAGACTCCAAAAGTCACGAGGCATGCAAAAGTCACTGACACTTCTTAAGGCAGATATGATATTAACAATGGGAAAGGCAACCTGTACAGAATCTTTCTAATGACAGGACATGAAGTATATACTGCATCAAGAAGATTAATAAGGAAAAAGAGAGAACTTCAATTCCCTTCGTGTTTCCTTTCCTGCCACTTCCAATGAACTTGCATCTGACTTGTAACGTAAAATCAGGTCTCGAGGTCTTTACACAACATGTTTCCATCTAGGAGAGTACAGCAATATTTATCTGTATCGTGTCAGGCAGATATTCTGACACAAATTCTGAAGGTTACAAGACCTTTACAAAAACATACAGCACTGTTAGCTTTCAGCCTCTATGCCTGATTAAAATATCCAGATTTAAAGTAATCAAAATAGAATGTATCACATATGTACACAGTAACAACATACCTCAGAAATTCTGAAACAAACGAGACCAGACATACAGGTGAATGCTAGCTGGATACACCTATGAAACACTGGGTTAGCTCATTAAAATAATTTGAATTTATTAAAATAAATTGAATTTTAGAATTTCAACAAATATCTTCACATTTTTTGGCATCTGCCTTGAGTGAAAATTAGTTAAGATATGAAAAGCCTACAGAAGATTGAGACTGTAGTTCAACAACATTCTGAGGATTACCTTCCTCAAACCAGTGGAAATGCTTTTCCTAAAACAGCCTGGGATACTGTTGGGTCTCCTTTGCTTCAAGGGCACAACACCAGCTTATGCTCAACTTCATGTCCACCAGTATCTCCAAATCCTTTCCCCTAAAGATGTTTTTCAGCCAACCAGCCCCAGACTGTACTGGTTATTCTTCCTCAGTTCCAACAACTGCCATTTGCCCTTGTTGAACTACATGAGGTTCCTGTCTTCTCCAGGCACTTCTCCAGCCTGTCCAGATATCTCTCCCTGGCAGCTCCTCTGTTTGTATCCCAAGCAAATTTGCTGAGAGTGCCCTATTTCTCATCACCAGGTCATAAATAAAGATGCTGAATAGTACTGGCTTCAGTCCCTGGAACACCCTGCTGGTGATTGGTCTCTAGATGAATTTTGTGCTGCTGATCGCAACTCTCTGAGCATGGAGGCTCAGTCATTTTTTGGTCTGCATCACTGGTCCACTACCTTGTCTGAACTTCATTGGTTTTTCACAATTAACACATCCACTGCTCCCCATTTATCTACTATACATATAGTAGATAACCATATATATTGTAGATAACTATACTATAGCAGATTATTTCATAGTCATTTCGTTAGGATGGAGAGCTGAGTGGAAAGGAGCTTCATGAAGTTCAGCAAGAGGAAATTCCACATCTAGTGAGAAATAGCTCAGTGCATGCTGAGTGCAGGAGGCCAATGGCATCTTGGCTTGTGTCAGGAATGGTGTGGTGAGCAGGACTAGGGAAGTCATCCTGCCCCTGTACTCAGCATTGGTGAGACCTCACCTCAAGTACTGTGTTCAGTTTTGAGTACCTCAGAACAGAAAGGACTTTGAGGTGCTGGAGCATGTCCAAAGAAGGGCAACGAGGCTTGTGAAGGGCTTGGAGAAAATGCCCTACAAGGAAAGACTGCAGGGTGACCTCATTGCAGCCTTTCAACATGTAAAGGAAGCCTACAAACAGGAGGAGAATCAACTCTTTGAAAGGGTAGATAACTGCAGGACAAGGGAAAATGGTTTTAAGTTGAGGGAGGGAAGATTTATGTTGGATGTCAGGGGGAAATTCTTTAGAGAGAGTGGTGAGGTGCTGGAACAGGCTGCCCAGAGAGGCTGTGGATGCCCCGTCCCTGGAGGTGTTTGAGGCCAGATTGGATGGGGCTCTGGGCAGCCTGGTCTAGTATTAAATGTGGAGATTAGTGGCCCTGCATGGGCAGGGGGGTTAGAGATTCATGATCCCTGAGGTCCCTTCCAACCCAGGCCATTCTCTGATTCTTTGATTCTATGAGACTGAAGGAACTGGGCCTGTTTAGTCTGGGGAAAAAAGGGTGAGGGGAGGCCTTTGTCTGCAAAGTCAACCCAAGATCCATGCACAAAGAAGCAACAGCAGGAAGTAGGGCTGGTTTGTGACAGAAGAGGCACGATAGCGCTGCACAACCCATGCTTCCATGTACAGAGAGGGTCAACAAAAAGAGCTCGATCCTGGAGCTCTTCCTCATGACACATACCCCTCAGGTTCATAGAATCGCAAGGTTGGAAACGACCTATAAGATCATCCAGTCCAACCGTCTCCTCATCACCATTGCTACCACAAGCACTAAACCACATCACCCAGCTCCTCATCCAGACGCCTCTTGAACACTGCCAGGGACAGCGACTCCACCACCTCCCTGGGCAGCCATTCCAGTGCCTGACCACTCTCTGAGAGAAAAAGTTCTTCCTTATGTCCAAGCTAAACTTCCTCTGATACAACTTGCGGCCATTGCCCCGTGTCCTGCTCGTTGCCTGGGAGAAGAGGCCAAATCCCTCTTCACCACAACCTGCCTTCAGGAGGTTCTAGAGTGTAATAAGGTCTACCCTGAGCCTCCTCTTCTCCAGACTGAACAATCCCAGCTCCCTCAGCTGCTCCTCATAAGACTTGTGCTCCAGACCCCTCACCAGTTTCGCTGCCCTTCTCTGGACACGCTCCAGGACCTCAACATCTTTCCTGTAGTGAGAGGCCCAAAACTGAACACAGTACTCGAGGCGCGGCTTCACCAGTGCTGAGTAGTGGGGGACGATCACCTCCTTGCTCCTGCTGGCCACACTATTTCTAACGCAGGCCAGGATGCCATTGGCCCTGTTGGCCACCTGGGCACACTGTCGGCTCATGTTCAGCTGAGCATCAACCAACACCCCCAGGTCCTTCTCTTCCTCACACTCACCCAGCCACTCATCCCCAAGCCTGTAACGCTGCATGGGGCTGTTGTGCCCAAAGTGCAGGACCTGACACTTGGCCTTGTTGAAACTCATCCCATTCATCTCAGCCCAGTTGTCCAGCCTGTTTAAATCCCTCTGAAGAGCCTCCCTACCCTCAGGCAGATCAACACCACCTCCCAGCTTGGTGTCATCTGCAAAGTTACTGAGGTACATTCAATCCCTTCATCTAGGTCATCAATAAAGATATTAAACAAGATGGGCCCCAGTACCGACCCCTGGGGGACACCACTTGAAACAGGTCGCCAGCTGGACTTCACTCCATTCACCACTACCTGTTGGGCACGGCCCTCTAGCCAGTTCCTTACCCAAAGAAGGTAGACCTGTCCAGGCCATAGGCAGCCAGTTTCCCCAGAAGAATACTATGAGGGACTGTGTCAAAGGCTTTGCTGAAGTCTAGGTAGAATACATCAACAGCCCTTCCCTCATCTACCAGTCATAGAAGGAGATGAGGTTGGTCAAGCACGACCTGCCTTTCATGAACCCGTGCTGGCTGGGCCCGATCCCCTGGACACTGCACACATGCCGTGCAATCTCATCCAAGATGATTTGCTCCATAACCTTCCCTGGTACCGAGGTCAGGCTAACAGGCCTGTAGTTCCCCGGATCCTCCTTACGGCCCTTCTTGAAGATAGGAGTCACATCAGCAAGCCTCCAATCCTCTGGGACCTCACCAGTTAACCAGGAGTGCTGACAGATGGCCGAGAGGGGCTCGGCAATCATCCCGGCCAGCTCCCTCAGCACCCGAGGGTGTAGCCCATCCGTTGTTGCTCTACTCCAGGTCCTACTATACCGCGAATATACAATAAGAGGTGAAAAACGACATAAACAGGGCAGCATTCCCCACAGAAGAGTCTCACTCTCCACGACCGCCGGCCGGCTGTCACGGCGCAGCGGCCGGCGAAGGACCGACCGCCTCCCTGCGAGACAGGGCGGGACGCTCGGCAGCTCTCGCGAGACTTCGGCTGAGACCGCAGCGATGGTGCTGGGGCGTCACGTCCGGCGCCACCCAGGGTGCAGCGGGAGCGCTGGTTGCTATGGTGGCGCGACGGGCTCGCCCGGATGGCGCTGCCCGTGCCGCCTCCCGCGCGCGTTTTCGCCGAGCTCTGCCCCGTTCCAGCTCCAGCCTCAGTCCCGGCCCCTCTCCCGGCGGGTGGCGGCTGCGGCCTCCCTGCGCCGTCCGGCCGGGAAGTCCACGTGAGAGGCAGCGCGGAGCTGAGCGCTGTCCCAGACCGTGCGAGGGTGTCGCTACGGCTAGGCAGCCGGAAGGGGGTGGCCGGCGCGGCGCGGAGCAGCGTGTCCCGCAGGCTGGAGTACATCGCGCAGAGCGCCCGGCAACGCGGCGTCCCGGTGAGCGGCGGCTCGGAGCCCCGTCGGAGCCTCCGGAGGCGTCAGCCCGCGGGACGCCTCGGCGCAGTGCCGCGGTGCGGGCTGTGCAGCGAGCCGCGTGTTGGGCGTGGTGAAAGCGTAGTGTTGCATGTAACGCCTTTTCCTCACTCTGATTCCGTCCCTCCGTGCAGTTCCGCTGCGTGCGTTTTCCGCGCATCATCACATAAAGCAGTGGGAGATGGAGAAGGGCTTCTCAGCCCTGATTCGGGGAACGGTCGTGCTGCAGCTGTGGGACTGGATAGCGCGGATGCAGGCTGCGGTGGGCTGCATCTGTCACCCGCGTTTTTCACTTAGGAGGTGGTAGCGTGTGTTTCTATCACATCCCGTGAGCCCCACTCAGACTGGTGACAACCAGGAGGAGGATTAATTTGCCAACAGCACGGCTTGATTCTGTGTCGGATGACACATGAAAGGAGTGAGCTGTGCTAAATGAATGAGAGCGCTTTGAGGTGCTGTGCACATTACTGCAAGCTAGAGAAAATAATCACAGTCATGGTGTAAGCGGGTAGAAAAGAGGCTGATTTTACACTGAGAGCTGAGCAGTCCGTGAGTTGTTACAGTAATTTCTCAGGATTCTGTTGCTATTTCAGAGATAGCACGTGTTGGAGGATGGAAGTGTTCCTTCTCTCTGCTGATGAGAGAGACTGTGACATGCTGCGGATGTTCTGGGCTTCTCAGTGTTAGCAGTGTGTTAGCTCCAGAGAACAACAAATTATGTTTGTTGCTTTTTTTTAGAGGGTAGTTCCCTATGGTGTCATTTTTATTGCTTTGTTCTATCCAATTTTCAGTCACTACTGCTGGAGCAATCATTTGCCTTTTCTGTTGACTAATAACTGCTGGCAGTTTGTTCTCAACGTTTCCTAACATCCCTTGTTGTTAATAGCATTCTAGACTCTTCACATTCTCCATATGGCTCTGTTTCTTTCAAGGTTATAGAAGGCCTCTTTAGAAATAGCGGGTTAGTCTGTGCATTTACTTATTTATTAATCCATGGATCCCTTTCCTTAACCCCTTATACTGCTGTTGTAGGAAGCCTGTGAGATCAGGAAAGTGTAACCTGTGCAGCAGCAGGAGCTTGTGTTAGCAGCTTGTCATGGTGCCTGGGGCTGCACCTAATTTCCATGTATATTTACAAAGGAATTTAATCAGAAGTAGGTGCACGTAGTAGAATTTATTTATAGAGTGCTATAAGGATATACTCCAGAGCACAGAATCTGCTTAGGGAGCTGCAGGGAAAGAACAGTCAGTAGGGAAAGCAATCTCTTGCTGAGCCCAGCTGTTTAAAAAGGAACATTTTTCCTTTTCTGTAGAAGCGCGCTGTTTAATATTCACAACTTAGAATATACCTGGGGAGTAGTGTGTGACAGTAACACCCATTTTCTTTAATCACTGCATCTAACAGTTGTCACTGGCCATCTTGTTTAAAAACAGCAGTGCTGGTACTTGGGCCAGTTATCTGAGGCTTTGGAGTGAGTGTTATTTAACAAAACAAACAAACCGTTCACAGACAGTATCCAGCACACTCTGGCTTGGGATTTATCCATGCTAGGGAATGTCCTTGGATATACGTGCAATGTTCTCCATATTTGGAGCCCATTATCCAGGAACCACAGTCATGGATGCACATCCATACAGTCAGTGGAGAAAAACATTGTGACATTTTGCTCACTTATTTACGGTTTTCCAGTTTCAATGCATCCTTGATTAAGAGATGTAGAAACCTCCGTAAGATATCCGGTTTTTAAGACTACTATGTATTTTAAGAAGTATCCTCAAAATATCCTGACATTTGCTTGAAGAAAACAATTGCAGAAGTCTGGGATACCTGAGGCATTGAAAGTGTAACTTTTCATAGGACACAGAGAAAACTGTTCTTCCCTTGTGGCTATTGTGATCAAATGAACAGTTTTGCAGCCAAAATATAAGTAGTAGACATAAGCAGTATGGGAAAAAAAAAAAAAAAAAAAAAAAAAAAAAACGCCTTTTGCTTTTGATGTAGTCAAACCCAATATTCCAACTTAAAATTCTGTGATTACCTACTTATCTGTTCTGTTTCCTTGTCTGAAGATAGAACACCCTACTAAAAGGGAACAAAATGTCTAACAGGAGATGTATTGCAGGAGGCCACGTTGTTATGACTTCAGCAATTATGTCTTCCATTTATCTCCAGTAACTCATGCAGCTTCTGTCAAATCCGGTGAGATAAAAATTAGCTGTGAGGGAAATGTTACAATAGATGGCGCAAGAGGATCTTTCCCTCCCGATCCCGTTGATCTTGCACTGGCGCCTAGAACCACACGATGGCACTGCCCTTAAACATACGGCAACCGGGCGAGTGCAAGACCAAAACGCAAACCAAAGATGTAGAAGATGAATTCCTTCAGGGGAAACAGAACTTTTTAAAAGGGATTAAAGAATGGGAGGGGAAAAAAAAATAAGAAAAAAAAAAAAAGCAAAAAAAAAAAAAGCACTTTTTCTGTTTACTCTCAAGTTCTATTACAGTGTAATTATTTCTGTAAAATAAGAGTTATATGTGTGGTTATTCCTATAAGAAAAGAAAGCTTTCCTGTAGAATTTAAATTGAATCTGCTAAAAGTAGAAAGATTTACTCCATTTCATGAATAAAAGGAGTAAAGGAATTCATTCGCTGTTCATTGCAGGGGAGTTGGACTAGAAGACCTTTAAGGGTCCCTTCCAACTCTAAGGACTCTGCGATTCTATGATCCTTTACTGAACTGCAGCTGGCCACGCTTCCCAATTACCTCAAATCTGTGACTGTAAAGGGGGAAATACAGCTCCTTGGAATTCACTGTGCCTGGTCCTTGCCCTTGCTAGGAGAGATTTTCCAAAAAAAAAGATGGTTGTGCTTGTATTTCAGCACTGCTTATCAATCACAGCATTGAACAGTTAGAATTTGTTTCTTGTACGTGCTGTGCAATGATAATTATGGGTCTCATTTCCATTTCATGTTATAGAAGGAAAATGCTTCTCACCATTAATGTTATTTCTAAAAAAATATATGCATGGTATTCAATAGAAGTGAACACTTGAGTTCTGTGTATGAAATATTCTGACACAGAGCATCTTCTGAAATGCATCGACCCTGAAAGCAAGTATTATGTGTTCCTATGGAATTAGGATTAATAATAAAAGCGTTTTCAGTAATTTGGAAATCTTAGCTTTGTTGTAGGTAAACTGTTCACCCAAACTGTTTACCAAAGAAGGCAGTGGGTGAAAGAAATGTTAGGCTACCAGCAAGCTGGTTGGGTATTAGATGTAGCCAGAGTTGCTCTGTATCTGAGTTTTACTCTGTATGTGAGTAAGGTTTTTCCAGCGCTCTGTACAGACATCACATTGAATAATATAGCTGCTATTACTGCAGAATGCCAGATTGGAATAGCCTCTGTTAAGGGTTTCCTTCCTACTGAATAACCACTGATTAGGCATTGTTTAAATCGTCTTGCCATGAGCTGCTGTGGTTGAAATATCTTAAAATCTGAAGAGTACTTTCCATATGCTAGCTTTCTGAAAACAGCTGAAATCTCCTGATTTTTTTTGTTTTTGTTTTTTTGTTTGTTTTGTTTTGTATCAGATAGATTGACAATTACATGCTGATACACAGAGTTGCTAGCTAGCAGTTGCTTTCAAGACCTCATTCCTGCCTTCAGGTGGATAGCAGCAGAATTAACTTATAGCGCTGCTGCGTGATTTACTTTAAATAACATCAAGAAATCTTTAACATCCAGCTTTAACTGAAGAGATTTGCATGGAAAATTCCCAACTTCTGTTGCTAGGTTATAAGTAATAAGCCAAAACCGTTCAACTTCTACTGAGCACAATGTACATACATTTCCAACAGACCCTTCATTTCTGTCTTTTAAGGTTATTGAATCTCGTTTTAGGAAGAAAATATGACTGTAACAGAGGATTTTAGCAGAGTAGAGGACACCTACCAGATGGAAGCAGAGGTATGTATTCACCCTAACGAAACAAAGCAATGGAGCAAGGACCGATGCAAAATTTATCCACTGTCTGTTCTCGTAATAAGGAGTAGGTATTCTCTGCAGGAAAAGCAACATAGCCCAAAAAAACTAAGGAAGGACTGCAGTTTAAAAGCATTATTTGGTTGCAGTTTTCTGTTGCATACAAAACTTCTGCTACTGTAACATGGAAAGGATTTTTTTTCTTCTCATATTAACGTGCTGTAATGCTACAGAAGGGACTGCTTTGTGCTAGGACTCCAGGGCTGTCGTCCTGTGGTGGTGTGAGCAGACCTTTTGCTCTCTCCTCCACCCCTGAATGTTCTTGCCCTCCTTCCTCAAGGAGTTTTACTTAGGTAGTAAGGTAATAGGTTGATTCAGAAAGCTGCTTCAATCAAAAGCTAATCCAGGAAAAAAGTGGTTATTTTTTCAATGTTTTAGCTCTGTGAGCTGGAGGCAGTGCAAGGCAGAGCACAGGAATGGATGGGGGACAGTGGCACAGCAGCCCTAATCTAGACTTGTTTAAGCCACAGCTGAACAACACTTGGACTTTAGTCTGTTCTACGTGACTCTGCCATCAGCCTGCTGCTAGTAAAGCAAAGCTAATTGTTTCCTAGGTAATTCGCTTTGAATTCTGCAGGTAAAAAGTGCTGAGTGAAAGTCAAATATTATGGGAATAATCCCATTTACTCCAGAATCAGCTAAAGAGGGTGTATTTTTCCACATTCATACCACTGGGAGAAGTAAATGCTATGCTGAAAGTATTCCCTAAGGGATATTAAGTATTTTTGGTCTATGAATCTTTTCAGCTTTTATCCCTTCATTCACTACAAAGCAACTTTACTGGTTCTTACAAAATAAACATAGAAGTCCACAATAAAATGGTAGCATTTTTATAGAGCTGCTGCTTACAGTCCCCTAAAACAGAGTTCAGCCTCTTCAGTTTTCTTGTTTAAGGTATATTCTCCTAACAACAAATATACAAATAATTGAATATTTGGAGAACAAAATTTGAATTTTAGAAATGAGTCCTTGGCTACGTATGATGATATCATCAGTGTCATCTACTGAACAACTTTAATTTCATAGTTTAGATTACAACTTTCATGAAAGCTTCAATTACAGAGTTTGTTAAATAGCCTATAGTTAAAAATTAATAAAGCTATATTTATTAATTGTTTAGGCAGTACTTTGTTACCAGCAAATTTAGGCCTACAACGTCAGTCTTACGTGGTAACTTAACCAATCACCGTCCTTTTCCTACCATTGATTTTCAGTCAAGATTATAAGTGGAAAGCAGATTACATGGATTGAGTATTCAGTCAGTCATTTGGACCAGCTGTAAAAGTTCTATGGTTGCACAGTGCTTGGGAACATTAAAATCTGCCTACCTGTAGTGCTGCTGCTGCTGGCTCTACCATATGCTTAAGTAGCAGTGTTGTGGCTCCTAATGCAAAGATTCATTTCTCTTTGCCTCTCCCTTTATGTAAGGACTTCTTTTGTTAATGCTGTTTCGTTATCTTCTGAAGCTCCATTGGCCAGTGTGCTGTACTACTTCAGCAATATAAATGAATTTAAAATTAATAACATTGCCTTCTGTACTAAAGAGTTTGCCACTGTGTTTGTTACACATCAAATCACAGAAAGTCATGCATTGTTTCATTCTTTAGACTTTTTACCATGTGTCTACTGTAAGAATATTCAGAAGGCTTAAGAAATTCCCAGACAAATAACTATTTTAAGTTATAGTTAAGATACACTTTCAACTGCAACTCTAATTCATTCTTTAGCAAAGGAAAATATGCAGAAGAATGAAGTTTTATGAGATCACAAAGCTTTATGATATCTTAATAATAATAGTGCATTTATTGCATGCTGATCAAATGAAGATCAAGTAGTTCTTGTGCACATCTTAATGTACTTGCCTTTTTATGAACCACAACTTCTGGTCCTGTACAGCCTTACCCAGATCTTACCATGTGCCTGTAATGGTTTTGCCCACCCTACGTTTTCACACTTCTTAATCTTCATCATAATTTTATTTAAAAAAAAACAAAAGCCTGTTTTACATTTTATTGCTCAGATATCCTCTTTAAATTGAAGTAAAAATTACTGAATGTAGTCCTAAGTAATCTAAGTGAAAACTGGGAAAGAACAGAATTCAGTATTGCTCAGTGTTTTTCTGCTCCCAAGAGTACCTGATTACATGCTGCTTTATCAACAATAAATTTCCTCAGTGCCCAAAGCCACCCCAGACTGAGTTGCTTATCTCTTACTTAAGATCCACCATTCTTTTGCTTGATCATTCTTCTGCTTCATGCCCTTGAGGGAGCTAATCTTGTAAATGTTGATAGCAATCTGGAAGACACTATGTCAGTCCTTGTAGTGAGACTATATCATAGTGAGACCAACTTCCACAAAATGCAATTAGAACCATTTTCTTGGAAAGCAGCACAAGAAAATACATGAGTATGTCAAGAGCTCTCACTGAAGAAAGAAATCTAGCTTTAGTCTCATCTTTGGTCTTAGTTCAGATTGGTGCTGCACCTCCCAAAAGAGATTCAGCCAACAATTTATGCATAAAGGGTATATAAATCAAACGTATGTGCATACTTGGTGCACTTTTGCACAACGGACATGATTTGTCATCATAGAAGGTGTAATTACCCTGTCACTTGATCTTGGCCAGTTTTTAAGGCCCTAAGCTGAGCTGTGGCTCAGTTTCGTGAGGACTGAGCCAGTACAAAGATTCAAGCCAGGATAAGGTGTACGTGCACTGAGAGAGGCTAACAGGAGCAATAGAATTAGTGCGTTAATTGCTTTGTGATAATTGTCAGTATCCATTTTTACCTCACCCTGTAGATGAGGTAGCCCTCTCTCACTGAAAGATTCAACTCACTTAGATGATCTTTACCACCAGGTAAATGTGTGGCATGCCTATAGGAAGTTACTGCAGTACAGCTGATGTGCAGTAGTTTGCATTTCCATAGCTATGCCTGTACTGGGGTAGGCTGTATGGATTGCATGGAGAATGTGATCTGTATTTCATGTGGGTCAGCAGTGGAATTTCCTCTACAACAACTTTCTTTGTCCCAACCTGCTGAAGCTTTATTGCTGTCCAGAAAGAGTCAGGGATAAGAGGTGTTAACCCTGACTTGCTGATCAGGGCAGTGTACTGCTAGGTGAATTTGAGGATTTGGTCCTAAAAAAAGATTTTGAGAGCTGGGATTTCTGCTTGCTGAACGCTTCGGCAGCTGGGCATCATTACTTCAGTGCTCACAACTGCTCTCCTGCAGAGAAGGCTGTAAGGCTCTGAATCCAGGCTGATAGCAATGCTTGCTCTGTAGCACTTGGGAAAACACTTTAATTCCTTATGTATCTATATTTAATGCTTCTTATTGCCAAAGCTACAGACCGATAAATGTTTAAATTGTATTTAATCCAAGACTGAAGTGCTGTGGTCTTTTTAGCCTCTGGAATTAATCTGTTCACCTACCACAATGTTTTGAGCCCACTGCAAACTAGACTGGACTAGGCTAATTTTCTTCTCTTAGTTTAGATTTCTTGAATGTAATGCATGAAATTAAAATGCAATTTTCCTTCATGCACAATGTTTTCCACATCATTTTGCTTGGGCTTCTGCATAATTAACATCTAGTAATCTAAGTTTAAATTTAAAAGAGAAGAGCTAAGATGCATCTAATCAAATAGCATGTGTTCATTTTTCAAATTGTCTGCATACCAAGAATGCCATGCTTCCTCCCAAAGGGGAATTTTCTTAATCCTCAGTTTTAAATCATTTTATGAGTTTCTTTCTGTTGCAAAGCAAACAGCTCATCATCTGTACGGGTATATAAGTGTTCCAACTCAGTAAACGTTTGTGTTATATACAGGATTAGCACATTAAGTTAGTTTGTAGCTATCTGTCTTCATGCTGATTTAATTAGACATGTTCAATCATTGGAGAAAACAAAACAAAAAATTACTTGTCTGATGTCTATGTTCACTTCCAGGTCTGTATTATATTCACTGATTTTGGAAAAATGCAGAATGTTTGCAATTTACTTACTGAAAAGTTAGGAACTTCTGTTACCATCAGCCCACCTCATTTCTACCACACGCCAGAAGCCATAGACACCCTTCGGTAAGTTTTCTCTTGTGCCACAAATTTTACAGCCTCAGATAATATTTAATATGCATACTTAATTTCTACAGTTCGTAATGGGAGAAAATAGTTTCCTTCATACATAACAAAATTTGTGTTTCACATTTTAGCATTTGGTCTAAATATAACTTAATGCTTTTCAGCTTAGGAGATTGAATCTTGTTCTTTCTGCAGTGCCCCTGCGCAAAGGCAGAATGTGATAAATGTTTTCTCACTGATTTCCACTGGAAGTATAACCTACTGCAAATATTAGGTCAACACAATTTGACTTAGGTTACATCAGCATGTGTTTCTTGAATTTATTCGTGAAGGTACAATTATGTTACCAGATGTTGATAATTCTAAGTACCTTTACCAATTCCCAGTGCTGACAGCTACTGATGTGCTCTGACGTGAGGCATATGCAGTGCTTACTTAGAATCAGAACATGCTCCTTGCTTATAGTCTTGCTATTTTAGTCTTGCTGTTTGTACAAGTTGGCTTTGCTTATTACCATGCTGCTTTTTCTACCTCTCAGCCGTAGAGTGTGTGTCTCTGCTGTTGGAAACACACGGCAGAAAGCTCAAGAAGTGTGTCGGCTGTTTGGCCAGTCATTGGGAAAGCCTTTATTAATAAAAGAAGAAGAAACAAAAGAATGGAGAGGCCACATAGACAGTCACCTATCTAACTCCCCAGACTCACTGACACTGCAGGAAAGAATCCAGAATGCCACTGCTTACGCATCTTGTAGAGTGTTTGCTGTGTTTGAGATAAAGGGAAAAGAAAACAGAAGAAACAAGTTGCTCTAAAAAATTTCAAATGATACTTATTTTCTTAATAAATTTTCATGCTTTCTTAATAAATATAAAACTCAAATGTTTCATTTTTTTCTGCTCTGCAACCTACCAGTTGTTCACTTCTAATGAAATGAATCCTTCAACATAAAACACCCTTAGGAATTCTTTATTCCATCATAAGAAAAAAAAAAAACCCACCATGCATTCGTTTTTATCTTGGTGTCTATTTGCTCAAGTTTATAAAGGAAATATGTTGTCCAGATGTACATTGTATGTACAGATACTTGAATGCTTCAGTCATGAGGATAGATATCTCTCAACCACGGCTGCAAAATATACTTTGATCCGTCATATCCACAGAAATAGACTTTCACATCGGGGTGGTGTACCTGAGAAAATATTTCAAGTTGAATTAGCACCAGAATTAGCAGTAAATACAAACTGATACTAGGATGATTTAAATTAGCTTTTTGGAAACTCCTGATTAGTCTAAATTCATAATGTACACAGATATACTTTCACTGGGATTTTCCACACACTTTAATACAGTTTATGCAATCAGAACAGTGGCTTTCACAGATCATCAAGGGCTCTACAAACGAACAAATCTCCTGAGGTATCACTTGCTAGATTTAACTGGCCTTGATTTTCTAACACAACACTGTTTCTAATTGAAGTAGTTTCCACTCAGTTGTCACTTGTACAGCTTCCTGTTATTTTTTTTGGCTGGATCAGTTATATAATTCAACTACGCAGGCAGCAGGAATGCTAAAGCAGTCAGGGAAATGGTGAAGACACACAGAGTTGATGATCTTTCACAGAATCATAGACTGGCTTAGGTTGGATCACCTAGTTCTATCCGCCCCATAGTTCCATATGTATAGGCATGACTACCTATTAATTTCAATGGTTTTTGACTAGAAATCTAGATTGGCAAGCATCTAGATTATCTTCCTTAATTATCTGTGGGAAGACTAAGCCTCTGATAACTGGATTTCATTAGGTAAGTATTTGTGGTGAGGTATTTGTTTCTCCCCACGGGCTATAAGTGTCACTGACTGGCATAACAAAAGAGGTTTTTTTTAGACACAAGTCAGTGTGGTCAGAACCCAATTTTAAATACTGATGACACTCATCTGCATTCCTGCTCCTATAGTTCCTACTCCTGAGTTCAGGCATGTTAACTGTTCTGTATTGCTGGCTAACACAGTTTTTTTGTTATTAGTCTCTGACCAGTTTAAGAACCAGGTGCATCTTTTGTAATCTAGAAATCAAAAACTACCAAGACCATGATACATAAAACAGAAATAGGCTTGCGGAGTCTAGCGATTAAAGAAGGGAGACATTATTCAGTTTAGATAGTGACTAAGCAGAAGCTTTTTGAAACGCAGATTTTTCAGGGCTGAATTGAGAAACCAGTGTACTTGGCTGGATTCAGTAGAAAGAAATTAAATGACTTGTCCAACATTGATGGGTTAGTTAAACTCTAATATAAAAGTCCATGTCTGCAACAGCTTGTACATAACCAAAGCCAAGCTGTTGAAAGACTTCAGGGAAAAAAAAAGAAGAAAAAAAAAGCTGACAAACAAAAGAAAGAAACCTCCTTGGTAGTTGGATACTTTTAAGTAGACAGTAACTTGTTTGAGTTATTTATCACCTTCTGAAAACACACATTTGAAAGTATGGCAGTAGTTTGCATCTCTGCTTTCTCTATTAGTTTCATTGCCTTTGTAAAATAAATAGCTTCTTTTAAGCCAAAGGTCAGCCAACTTTTAAACACAGAGTTGCAACTAAATAAAAATAAATACTACCTGTAATCCCACAATAATTGTTATCTCTTCCTCGGGAACGTAAGCGGTAGATTTGCCAAATCCACTTGCATTAATTAGAATTCGATAGTGTGGAGTATCTTTTACATCCTGTAAAAACAGAAGGAAAATAAAGAGCCTCAAGAGGAGATGGTGACTAAAGATTACATTGTATAATCCATTAACTTTCAGTAGACTTACAGAATCTAAAACCACTCAATATATACATATGGCAAGTTTACATTTTGTGATCACACCAACATCAATTTGGAAAACTAAATATAAAACAATCAAAAAGCAGTGAGGTTCTTCTTGGCAAATATATATGTATTTTATTTTAAGAGCCAAGATTTTAAGTATCATTTTCTTCCATGCATCTTTCAAGATATATGGCTTAGAATATCTCTTGGGGCCTGCTTTCTGTATATAGGACCCGTGACCATCTGTTAGCCCTGCTTCTACTTTCATAACTGTTGACAGGGAACACCAGCGAGACAGGGTCAAATTCAGAGCACCTCCGACAGCCTCAGTGTCCACTCGTGGATAAAGCTACAGCAACTTGTATATACAGCAACATATAAAAATCCCCTAGCCAAGAAGGAAATGTTGCTTACTGTTACTTTTGCAGTGCCTACAAACCCCAGTTATTGGCCAGGGTCCCACTGTGCTGTCTACTGTCCATAAATGTTCCCGCCTAAAGTAACTCCCAGTCTAAACACAAAACAGTGATGGATGAATATAGGCAGATAAATGGAGTTTATGCAGCAGTTAGTATTGATCCAAGTGACAGGCAGCGGCCTCTGCTCAACAGTGAGGTAATAGATGCAAGGCAGAGAAAGGCAGAAAAAGAATGGGCTCAAAGCTTGGCTAATATTCAGCATAGATTTGCAACAACCAAGCTTAATAGTTGCCTCGTCAGAAGTGGTCAGAAGACATTTTGCATAGCAGAAGCACAAAACATGAAAAAGCAAGGGCAAGTCAAAAAAAAAAAAATAATAATAATAATAATAAAAACAGCACTTAAACCACACTTTCACTATTGAAATTAAAACCATAATATGAATACAAGGTCATTGGGAGAACAGAAAACTGTAAGATGCTTATAACAAGTCAGAATGCCTGATGGAAAATACATGGGTGTGCAGTTGGTAACAATACCATTGAGGGGACAAAAAGAGAAGGGTGAAGAGCAAGAATGCAGATGTTTTAGATGCCAAGGATGAGTAGCAGATGGATAAAATCACAGCAGGGAAGGGACAAAATGAACACAACAGCACTGAATGTCTGCTCCCAGCTGAACATGAGTTCTCATCTGCAGGCAGTTTCTCATTTTTTCTCATTTTCAGTCCTCTCTGGCTTACTGATAAGTGCCTTCCTGCCACTTAGGCAGCATGGCAGTGGCCAACCTCCAAGTATCCTGCACTGCATTATCAGGCCAGCACTGTCAACAAACATTTAGCATCTGATTTTCAAATACAACACAGACTTAGGCTACAGAATTTCAAAAGCTTCAAGAATTCTAATAAAAATCCATTGTTAAATAGACACACATTTCAACTGTCCAGATCCTCAGAAGCATATCTGAAACAGATTAAACACAAAGGCTTACTTGCATTTCTTAGGTGCAGTGAAGATGTTACTAGTTATATCTATTCTAGAATATCAGAAGAAACTTTTCAATTTCAGTGACACATCATGAGAAATTTATTCTAACATTTCAGGTTGACCCTGCTATTTTAAATACAACACTGTGTTTGTAATTTTAAGTCAAGAAATGTCAAGCACAACCCTGGCCAGCAAAGTTTAACCAATCAGTGCTGCAAAAGCAAAGCTCTGCCATCAGGTTAGCAGGAAGTCTGAAGCAGCGTTAGAGATTTTCTTGTTTTTAACCACTTATTCTGTGTCTGTATTCATGAAACAGGAGTTTAATTCAGCCAAACCTGTTTTTCTGGAGGGTATTTGTGTTGTAGCCATTCTTCTGGAGCTTTAGCTCTCACGTCCCATCCAACAATGACTCCCAAATAACCAAATCTTTTGTGAACTATCACCTGTCCCACACTGAACTGGATAGATTCAGGCTTTGGACTGTGAACGTGAGATGACGCTAATTTAATAAAGAAAGAGAGTTAGCAAGGAGAAGTGTTTTAGGAAGCACATTAAGCACTTATACAGACATTCACATTCTTCTGGCTTCTACCAGAAGAGAATTGACAGATTTATAGGCAAAAGTTAGCGAGGAAACAAGTTTGTTTGTTTGTTTGTTTTTCCCCCCAGGAGTATCACTATGACAAAACAGCAATCAATAAGGAAAGCCATTTTCTATTTGTGTCTCTTTGAGATGACATAGAAATCTTAAAAGTGTTCTGGAAAGCATAAACACATGTATGTATTGACAGTTACTGTTCAACTTCACCTTTATATTCAACATTTTATAATGCTACACACAATGACTAATATTGTTATTTTTTTTTTTCAGTTTGGGCCATGGAATGTTTCTATTCCATCTTCTGCGGGAAATTTTTTGTCAGAGCAGAATAATCAATGGCTTCTTTTTCCTCTTTTGAAGTTGATTCAAATGCATTCATTTGAATCAAGTGAAAGCTATACCATTATCTCATACATCAGTACAAAATGCACTTAGATCTGTCCAATAAAACAGACTCATATATGTGGTGCATCAATAACATTGCACAACTCAAGGTGGAAAGGCTTCAGATTGCTCATGTTCTGTTTTGCTTACTGAATGGTATCAGTGTTTAGAGAGAACCAGGAAAAAAATTACAAGTATAGAAAAACGCTATAGAAAAACACAGAACACATTATCACCATCAAAATCCAAAAAGACTGCAAAGGCTTCAATACCTGCAAAATAAGAATGGTTTTCTGCTTCATTGTTGGTACTTTTGATTTTCTTTTCTCCGTAGTACCAGTTCCTAAAATGTAAAATGAATAACCAAACATTCAAACAAGTTATTTGGAAACTGAGTTGTAGGATAATCAGCTTTCTGATTATTACCTTAAGCCTTTGCCTGAATAAAGGAATGCTGCAAAGCCATTGGCTCAAAATTCCTCATAATTTGAAGCTCAAACAGAATGAGAACTTTAATACCACTTCAAGACAAAGGTATTTTTCTCCAAGAGGATAAAAAAAACATGAATATACCTTCCTTGGATATGTAGCTCCACAGCTGCATTCGAATCTTTATTTCAGAGAAAACCCATTTACTTTCTATAGGTGAAATTGATATTATTCTGATTTGTAAATTCTACT